CCTGTTTTAATTCCATTGTGCTCAGAGAATATACTTTGTGTAACTTCAATCCTTTTTTATTTATTTGGGCTTTTTTATGTCCTACCATATAATCTCTCCTGGAGGATGTTTCATGTGCAATTGAACACTGTGTGTGTCCTGCTATTGCTGGGTGGAATATTCTACAGTTATGTTAAGTCTAGTTGGCTTATAGTATTGTTCAAGTTTTCTATTTCCTTGTTGATCTTCTACTTCATTGTTTTATTCATTATTTAAAGTGGAGTACTGAAATCTTCAATTATTACTATTACATTGTTCACTTCTCACTTCAATTCTGTCAGTTTTTGCTATATGTATTTGGGGCCTCTATTGTGGATACATATATATTTATTATATCTTCCTCATAGGTTGAGGAAGATATTTGTGGTTTTTTCTTTGTTTTTTTTTTCTTTGTGTGAATTTGAGTTACTCTCTAGTGTCATTTCATTTCAGCCTAAAGGACTCCCTTTTGTGTTTCTTAGAGGGTAAATCAGCTAGCAGTGAATTCTCTCCATTTTTGTTTATCTAGCGATGTCTTAATTTCTCCTTCATTTTTCCAGGAGAGTTTTGCTGAATATAGAATTCTAGGTTCCCAGCCTTTTCCTTTCATTACTTTGAATATGTCATCTCACTGCCTTCTAGTCTCCATGGTTACTGGTGAGAAAACAGCTGTTCATTTTATGGAGGATCCCTTGTACATGATGAATTGGTTCTTTCTTGCTGCTTTCAAGATTCTCTCCATATTTGGCTTCTGATAATTTGATTATGATGTGTCTAGGTGTGGCTCTTTTTTTTGAGTTCATTCTAGTTGGAGTTGGTTAAAATTTTTAGATGCATAGATTAATTTTTTAAATTAAGTTTGGGAATTTTTTAGTGATTATTTGTTGAAATATTCTTTCTGCAACTTTATCTCTCCCCTCTCCTTCTGGGACTCCCATTATGTGTATCTTAGTATACTTGATGGTGTCCACAGACCTCTTAGGCTCTTTTCATTTGTTTTCATTGTTTTTTTCTATATCTTCCTCAGACTATGCAATATCAATTGACCTATCGTCAGGTTTGCTAATTCTTTCTTCTGCCAGCTCAATCCTGCTATCGTACCCCTCTAATGGAGTTTTCATTTCAGTTATACCTTTGAATGACAGAGTTTCTTTTTTAAATACAATTCTCATATCTTAATCTATATTCTCTTTTTGGTGAGATATTGTTCTCATACTTTCCTTTCAATTTTGAGACATGGTTTCCATTAGTTATTTAAACATATTTATAATAATTGAATTAAGGTCTCTGTCTAGTAAGTCCAACATTTGTGTATTTTCAAGGACCATCAATTGACTGCCTTTTAAACTGTGTCCTTTTCTGCTTCTTTATGTGTCTTGTAAATTTTTGTCAAAATCTGGACATTTTAAATACTTTAATATGGCAATTCTAAAAATCATATTTCCTCCTCCCCAGGGTTTGTTGTTACTATTTATTGTTTTGCTTTTACTGCCTCTCTTGGACTAATTTTGTAAAGTCTGTATTCTTTATCATTTGGAAAAAGGTTGTGCACAGTTGTGCACATGGGCATGTACTTTTAGATTTCTAGAAATATGTTATGTTTTTTTTTTTCTTTTTGAAATGGGGTCTTGTTATGTTGTCCAGGCCGGAGTGCAGAGGCTATTCACAGGTGCAATCACAACACACCACAGCCTCAAACTTCTGGGCTCAAGCAATCCTCCTGCCTGTCTCCCAAGTAGCTGGGACTACAGGTGTGCACCACTGCACCAGCTTATGTTAAACCTTTTTTTTTTTTTTAAAAATCCTATGGACTTCTCATTCCTAATTTTTTCCTTTCAAGTTTTTCAGTCATCCTCTTGTTAGCTCCAATTGTTAGCAACACCTCAGGCATCTGTAATGTTAAACAATTGTTGCTGATTATTTTCAACAAATGCACTGTGAATAGGGCCATTTGCACAAAGCATGCTCTTAGTCATGACAATTAAAGACAAACTCTGAGAATGGCACTTTTCCAGGAAGGTAACAGATCAAGTCAAATAGTGACAAGACTCTGGGGATAGGGCTCTCCTTTTTGCTCTTCCAGTGGCTGCTAAACTGCTGGTTTTTACAGCTACTATGACTGCAGGGCAGTTGGATTTCAATGCTGCATGTATTCTCTAATGAAACCATATAGTTGTCCCTCAGTATCCATGGGGAATTGGTTCCAGGACCCATGGATACCAAAATCCATGGACGCTCAAGTGCCTTATAAAGGGGACTTTTAAAATATATATATAATGTATTATATAAAATGACATAGTTTTTCATATAACTTAGGCACATCTTCCTGTATACTTTAAATTATGTCTGGATTACTTATAATACCTAAAACAATGTAAATGCTATGTAAATGGTTATGCTGTATTGTTTGTGGAATAATAAGAAGAGAAAAAATTCTGTACAAGTTTAGTACAAATGCAATTTTTTTTTCAGATATTTTTGATCCAAGATTGGTTGAATACACAGGTGTAGCACCCATGGATATGAACGTATATGTTTAATTGCCTGAAGAGAAATTCTCGTGTAGGATGGTCCTAGTCCTAATCACTGCTCAGCTCTTAATTATTGTATATAAATTATCTAAATCAGCTTACTTATTGTATATAGATTATTTAAGTCAGTATGTTCATCAGAATCCCCCGTAGGGCTTGTTAAATTACAGATCACTTGACTCTACTTTCAATGTTTCTGATTCAGTGCATCTGGGGTGGGGTCTGGGAATTTGCATTTCTAGCAAGTTCTGAGAAGATGCTGATGCCACTGGTTGGGAACCCTCATGTTGAGAACTTCTGAAGAACTGGGATACTTTACCACCAGCATACTTCTAGGATAATTTCTTCTATCAAGTTGTGATGCCTAGGGAATATGTATAGCATCATATTTACCAACAAACTTGGCTCCCTTTTCCCTTGATACTTTTCTTCCCACAATGGAATTTGGGCCTCATTCTTTGCCACCCTGAAAACATGAATGATTGTTTAAGATTATCCAGAATTATACAACAGTCAAGTGACAAATGTTATTGGAAGCCTGATCCTCATTCAGTGTTTGTTACTGTGCTAAATGAATGTATGTTGAAATTAGACTGAGGTCTATTTTTACATTTTCTGAGTTTAGATTTGTTTCTTTTTAAAAGTTACTGTTTAAAAACTCTTTTAGCTTGATAATAAATAGCATGGCCATCATATGTACTGTCTGAATAGGAATACATTTGAGAGTGAAAGGGGTTCCTAGTAATAATTTTGCTGGAAGCCTGGTCTGGTGTGTACCTGTAGTCCTAGGGAATTGAGAGGCTGAGATGAGAGGATCGCTTGAGGCCAGCAGTTCGAGGCTGCAGTGTGCTCTGATCATGGCTGTGTGAATAGCCACTGTGCTGCAGCCTGGGCAATATGAGACTCAATCTCTAAAAATAAAAAACTAAAAAACAATCTGCTGGATAAAAGATGTAAACTGGGGCTGTCCCAGGCCAACTCTTGGTCACATTAATTTAAAAAATAAAATATAAAAATATTTTGCCTTTCTACAAATTTGTTTGATAGTCTTGGCTGTCACTTTGTACTAGGGTCAAAGTTCTGTCAATATTTCCTTCCATTTATCTGAAGAAATAATAAGAGGAAACTTGTTTTATTAATAAGTTACTTTTCAGAAGAGAAATAAAATGAAAATTCAGAAAAGAAATAAAAATTTTAAAATAGTTTTATATGTGTTTATTTTTATTTCAGACTATTGTCTGCATTTGGCTTTTTGGTGACATGGGGAGGATCAGACGTAATTCTAAGTGAATTCAGAGAATTCTTGTTTAATTTTCATTTCTAACAGATTACTTTCTTCTTTTTAAAGCAAATTACTTGCATAAATGCTTACTTATTTTTTAAACCTGAGTGTGTGAACTCTGAAAAGTATTCTGGTTTATTGAATTAAAATAGTTTTCATTTAAGAACTTTTAAGGAGAAAGCTTTTTTTTCTGATAAAATGTAAAGGCTCAAAGATAAGTTAAATGTTTATGTTCAGTCCAATATTTACCCTTGCTCAAGCAGACATATTAAATTTTAATGTCAAATTAAAGTGTACATTTTTTCTCGAAGCTTCTAACTGCCTAATTTTTTTTCCCCTATGGAAAAACAGAATTTTGAGGGAGAAGTGTAAGGAACTGATATTTGTTGGGAGTCTATTAGTGTCATTTATGTATATATGCCAGAACAAGGATGGAAGGATATATACACTCAAGAGGTTAGCGGTCTCTCTTCATTTTGCAAATTTGTATTTTCCAAGTATTACAATTTCAATCTTTTGCTTGTTTCTGGTTAGGACGTTCAGTTTCCTAAGCGTCTTCTAGGGAGTGAGCACACCTGCACTTGGGGAGGTGCGCTCACCGGGAGTGCAAATGGCCTGAAAATGTCACCGGGTCGCGGCTTCTCCACAGAACCTTCCTCCTTGGGGATATGCCAGGGCGTCAGAAGCCTCAGTGTATGTGAAGGTGAAAATGCCATCGTTCGGTTGAGTACAGAAGTTCAAGAACTTCTTGCAGGTGACGCAGTCAGAGGGGAGGGTGTGCTCTTGTGGAAACTCAGGAGTAGAGGTCAGCGCTGGCCGCTGGTCCACCCGGCTCTGCAGCCGCCCGGGGAGCTGGATCCAGCTTGTGGGCGGGGCGCGGGCCGGGCCCCGGCCCCGGCTCGCGCTGAGCGCATGCGCGGCCAGGGGGCGGGGCCGGGGCGGGGCTGCGCGCGGCGTCCAGAGCGGTAGCGGCTGCGGCGGCGGCGGCGGCGGCGGCGGCGGCGGCGGCGGCGGCAGCGTCAAGGTTCGGGCTGCGGCGAGGGCGACGGGTTTACAGCCAGGGTCGACGCCACGGGCCGGGGCAGAAAGACCAGCACCTGAGGCCGGGCCCGCAGCCCGCGACTTCGCGACCAGGCGGCGGCTCTGCTGCTGCGGGGCTCGGGCGCGCGGCCGGGCGGGACGGAGGACTGCGGGACAGCTGGGCGGCGGGCGCTGCGGGCCGGACGCGCCAGGTAGGTGGGCTGGGACGGGCCGGGCCGGGCGGGGGGCGGCGACGCGGCAGCTGCGAGGACCAGGGGACAGGGATGGGCCGCGGGCACTGGGGGCGAGTCCCGGTACCCGCTGGGCCGGACGGGCATGGCGCCTGTCGTTGTCATGGAAATTGCACAGCCTAGCGGTTCACCTGCGTGGCGTCTTTTAAGAACAATCCAAGCCTGGCCGACCCCTAGCCCGATGAAGACCCGGCCGCCCTGGGCTGGGGGCAGGTGCCGAGCGGTGGCGGCGGGGAGCCCGGGATGTGGGACGCGGCGCGCCGAGCCCAGGTCGCGGCGCTTGCCTGGTGCGTCTCCAGGGCTGGATCTAGTGAGTCCTGAGGCTGAAGGCCTTGCAGTGTTTTGGGTGTAAACATAACCGAGTAAAAGTGAACATGCATCTTAGTGCAGGAAATCTGGACTCCTTCCTCACAGCTCTTCCCTTTTCTGCCGGCCCATAGCTCCAGACAACATTTCTTGCATCTTTGCTTTTTATGTTATATTTCTCTATAGCTTTGCTAGTCAATTAATCGAGGCCTGAGGAATTTTAAGGGATCTATGGCTGTGTCTTGAAAAGCCAGTCCATGAATGGGTAAGCCGTAGAAGACTGAAACACTCAAAATGTCAAAGGTAAATTTATGTCTTTGTGGGCGAAGGAAGGGAGCAGTTGATGGGCTGGCTTCTCTCCCTCTTGTCGCCTGCCCTCTGACATTACATAATGGTATGTTCTTCCTGCTCAGAGTTCATCCATAATGACTGATCATGAAAATATTCCCCTAGATAAGAAAGAAGTATAGGTCGTTGTAAAGCCCATCTTCTTGTCTTTTGCTTTGCCACTGAATGTGTTTTGTGTTGGGAGGCTGCCTAAGAGTAGAATTTGATTTGTCACCTGCCCCTTAGGGCATCTAGACCAAGAGAATGGGGAGTGGGGTGGCAGTTTGGATGTTGCAGTGAAATTCTGCCTGGTTCATCTCCTGTTCACAGTGGGTTGTGTGGACCGTGGGGAAGCCAGTGGGGTTGGGGACAGAGCAGGTTGACCTTGGTGTGAATCCTGGTTCTGTTGCTTGCCAACTCTGGTTCTCAATGTTCTCATCTGTAAAAGGCAAGAACAGAACCTCCTTTGCTGAGTTTGTTTTGGAATCTAGATGCTGTTGGCATTGGTCAGTGCATATAGGGTAGCTGTAGGTTGTCCTAGAATTAAGCCTAAATATTTTTTTTGGTTGAAAACAGCCTTTCTTTAACAGGAATTTTGTTTTTGGATCTAGGCTAGGGCCTTTGTTATAGAGGTTCTTTGCTGAAACATTTACTCCTGGAAGATTTAATTCACTGTTTTCTTTGAAGAAAGATGAATGATGGGGTCCATGATAGAAGGTCAGTGTGGTTTTTCTGTTGGAGGAGTGCTGTCAGGAGACCATGATGCTGTCTGTCCCAGGGGTGGCGTTGCATGTGAACAGAGCCTCCCAAGGCCTCATTCCCTGTGATGTCTTGTAAACACGCCTCCGTGTCCAAAGTTACTAGGAGGGCTTGGCTTGAGAACAGAGCTTAAAGGAATGGATGCTGGACAAATACAAAGAGAAAGGAGCACTGTATTTCTACCAAGCTCCTTGATAGGATCAGTTGTACTTACCTAGCCACTTCACTTATGTAGCTACTTTTTATTTGGCATATTCTGCCTCAGAGTGTTTATCTACTCAGGTAAGTCTTGTCTCCCAGCTAGACTCGGAGCCAAGGACAGACATTATAGTTTATCCCATTGTTTTGGAAATTGACATTTTGTAGTAATGCTGTTAAACTGAATATTAGGCTTTTTAAAAATTACTTTAAGGAAAGGATGAAATGAAATAATAACATGACAGCTTTTTGTAAACTGTAGAATGCACCAGAGAGATGGGGTGTGTATGACAGAACTACTGGCCCTGCAAGTCCCTTTAGCCTGTGACTGCCTGGGCACATTCTCAGCCAGCATCTCTGCGAATGCACACACAAATGGACCAAAAAGGCACTGTGGGATCAACCAATCCCTGACCCCCACTCCATGGCTTAACATCTCAAGAATTCAATAAGGCAGAGTGGAAGGAAGACTTTTGACCATGACTGTTTTATCCTGTTTTTGTATATTAATGAAAAACTCCTTTTTAGCTTATGTATTCCAGAAAAGTTCCCATAGCATCATCAACTACTCATAGTGTCAGGAGGCTTTGACTTTCACTGAGAAAAAAATAGCACAAGTCTTCAGTGAAGAAGGCTTGATTATGTTGGTGCTTCTTTTGTAGAACTTGATTAATGAGCTGGTCTTGAGAGATCCTTCAAAACAGCTTTTTTTTAGTGTCCTGGAACAGAAGGTCTGTGAGGGGAGCATATTTTGGGGAGACCAATGTTAACACCTGAGCAGGCTTGCTTCTTTTTGTCTCTCTGTGCTGTTAAGGAAAATGCCATCATGAACCTAATTCCAAGAAATTTACCTGTATTTCTATTAATATGCACACCTTGCTCTCTTTAATTTTTTTTTTTTGTGTGTATATTTTGATATGATTTTAGACTCACAGAAAAGTTGCAAGAATAAGCCAAGGGATTCTCAGGTACCTTTTACCTAGATTCTCCAAATGTTGACATTTTGCTACCCTGCTTTAACCAGCTCTCACATCCATGTGTGTGATTGCTTTTTTCTGAATCATTTAATAGGAAATTGCAGACTTGATGCCCTTTTACTTCTAAATACTTCACTGTGTATTTCCTAAAAAACAAGGACATTCTCTTATATAGCAATTGTACAGTTATTGAAAATCAGGAAATTAGTGTTGATACATCACTGTTGTTTAGTGTACAGGTCTTATTCAGGTCTTGCCAATTGCCTCAATAATGTCCTTTATTATTGGCAAGATAAAATCCTAGATCATTCGTTTTGCATTAAGTTGTTCTGACTCTATAGTCTCCTTTAATCTGGAATAGCTCCTGAGTCTGTCTTTGTATTTCATGACATTGACAAATTTGAAGACTACTGATTTTTTTAGATAATGTCCCTCAATTTGGGTTTCCTTGTGTTTAGATTCAATTTATCTGCAGGAGCAGCACAGTGTTGATGCTGCAGTCTTAGCATGTCCCCTCAGGAGGCATATGCTTTGAGTATGCCATTCACTGGCCCTGTTAACTTTGATCGCTTCATTAAGGTGGTGTGTATCTCTTTGAAAACTTACCATTTTCCCTTTGTAATTAATATGTATCTCATAGGAAGAGAATTTGAGACTATGTAAATATGCTGTTACTCCTCATACTTTCATCCACTAGTTTTAGAATCCATTGATGCTTCTTACCTGAATCAGTTGTTATGATAGTCGACAGATGGTGATTTTCTAACTCCATGTTTCCTTCTACGCTTATTAGTTGGAATTGTACTGAAAGCAAGAACTTCTGTTTCTTATTTATTTTTTGCTTTACATCTCTGGACTCATGAATTATTTGCTTTATTTAATAGATTATGGTCTGTTACTCTTATTACTAATTTTGTTGCTCAAATTATCTCAGATTTTGCCAGTGGGAGTCTCTTCAAGCTGGCTCTTATGTCCTTTTGACATGTGGCCATCATTCTCTGAGGACGTCTTTTCTTTCTGGCACAAAGTTTTCAAGACTTAGCTTGTACTTTCCTTGCCCCAGCCCTGGTTCCTTTTAGTGGAGAATGATATTAAAAACCAAGATGCGGGCACTAGGCTCATTGCTACTGAGGTAACACTGCTTCTAGACTTTCTCAGGGGACAGATGCAGTCATTGTAAACATAAATACAGTCACATTACACAAAATTTTCTGTGATTTGCTTTTAAAATTTAATGCTGTATCCTGAAGATTTATATGTGCTGACATGAGAAGTTTGTCTTTTTTTTTTTTTTGGTCTATATTCCAGAGTATGGATTTACCATAACTTATTTTACCGTTCTTTATTGGTCGTTCAAGTTGTATTTGATTTTTTGCTCTGAAAATAGTGAGGAATCAGTGAACCACATCACTTTAACTCACTCATATTTCAGTCTTCTAGATCCCTAGAAGTAGAGTTTCTGGGTCAAAGACTAATTTTAAATTGATAGTTTTGCCACATTGCCCCCCAAGAGGCTTTATCAGTCTGTACTTCCTCTATTAGTGTGTGAAACTGCCTGTTTCCGTCTATCTTGGCCAACACTGAAGAGAATAAATCTTGTTAATTTTGTCAATCTGATGGACAAAGAAGACATTACTGTTTTAATTACATTTACAAAATTGCCAAAAAGATGGAAAACCTTTTGCTAATTTATATTCTAGCTCCTGCGAGTTACCTATTCATATCTTTTGTCCTTTTTGTCTTATTAGGCTGTTTTTCTTTATCTTATTGGATTGTGGGTGTCACTATAACTTTGGACTTTGTTCTTGGCAGCCTTAGGATGTTCCTTTTTGACACCTTTTTTTTATCCTAAAGGAGAAGGATCCTTCCCTTTTCTGAGCACTCCCTGCATGCCAGGCCCAGGTGAGGTCTCCCTAGGCATCCTCTGGGAGGTAATGTCAGGAGGTGAGCTGTGGTGTTGAGGAGGATGCTGAGGTGAGGCCTGGTGAGGACACCCACCTGAGGGTAGTTGGAGGAGGCTCAGCTGGGTTTAAACCCAGGTTCGCCTGGATCTAGTGCCATTTCCATTAAATCACATAACTTCCCGCATAGGATTTCTAAATAAATGCTTTACTTTATGTATCAAGGTAGGGATGAAAATTTATTACCTGGACTGGCCAATATTAACAATTCATATTGTCAGTATTTTGCTTTATAAATCATGAGCTTCTTTTACTCAATCCCGTTTGTTGGGCATACATATCTTTCAGAACCATTTACTTTATTCCTAGAACTGTTGTGGACTCTGGAGCTGAACTTCCTGTGAGGCACCAACTAGCTGTGTGACTTTGGGCAAACAGGTTAATCTTTCTGTGCCTCAGTTATCTCACCCACAAAACTGGGCTGATAGTAGTA